TGTCAAATCTTCTCAGTGATGTCAGCTGTTTGATATTTTCACAAAGGCATCAAACTGCTCTTGATGCCCGAGGAAATTGAAGGACTCTAGCCGCACCCTCTCCTAGTACCCTTTCACCTGTTGTCAGCAGTGACAACGATACTTCCATTCTTCGCCACCAGGCGTCCGCACGCGACGATGGGATGACGTGGACCGTGACTACGGCTACCCTGCAATACATCCAGACGTCGCCGCCAGAGGAACGCATGTTCGGAGGACGGTCCCTTGGACCGCCCGCTGTCGGGACGCGCGGTGAGAGTGTGGGCCTCGTCAGAGGAGTGGCCGGGCATGCTGACAGTCCGAGGAGGATGGTCCGAGTTTGGCGCATATGGGACAGAAGAGGCTGATGTAACGACACCTGGGAAAGGAGCCAGCCCGCTGGAGCCGGGAGGGGATCGGAGCAGCTGGCTGCCGCTGATGAAGGCGGTCCAGCGCTACCACACGCGAACCGCGACGCGGCCGCACTGGTGCTGCCGTACTGGCGTTCGGGCATGCTGCTGATGGGGTACAGCTTTAGTCTGCTTACCCGTGGACCGTGGCCCGAGGTAGACGGCAGAGCAGCTTCCGTGAACGTCTTCTGGGATCTGGTGACCGCGCGGGCCGACTGCGACTTGGTAGCCGCGCGGGTCTGCCGCAGCTCGGTGGCCGCAAGGGTCTGACGCGGCTTGGTGGACGCGCGGGTCTCCTGCGACTTTGTGACCGCGCGGGCCCGCTACGACCCGTTTTTGTTTGACATTTACTTTTGGGTTTTAAACGGCCTTTATGCGCACCATTCGGAACTTAGTTCCGCACAAAAAAAAAGATTCGTGAAATAAAATATTGCGGTAAATTATTTCATGTCAACAGTCAAGGTCAGCAGTCATCCAATCACTTAATGGGTTTGCCATTAGAAATGAAAACTCACTTGGTGTGTGAAAACAAAACAAGAATGAAACCAAAGTTGAAATAAGCAATATACATATATATATATTATATATATATATAATATATATATATATATATATATATGCATATATATATGTGTGTGTGTGTTGTGTGTGTGTGTGTGTGTGGTGTGTGTGTGTGTACATGAATGTATGCATGTCTACCACAGTCACGTATGTCTAAGCCGGTCTTGTCAAGACTTGACTGGAGGCCAGTGAGCCGGTTTGGGTCAGCCGCCGCTCATGATGACAGCGCCCGCGCGGTTCATGAAGTGTGATTCATCAGGGCCACCGCAAAGGACCCCTGTCGAACCTTATCTCCACCAAACTCTTCTTGGTTTCCACTAAACTCCCCCTAGTAAAAGTTACTCTGCTTTCTTCTAGGCCTAATAGACTATAGAGATCTCAGCTTTTTGTGAAAAACAACTTTAGCCATCTTTGGGAAGCATGGCCCGTTTGCCCCCTTTCCCCTGGATCCGACCTTGATTTCGTCTCGCAGAAATCGCCAGGCGTAAAGCACCACGCGAAACATGAGAACCGCGATCTAAGGTCAAACGAAAGTGATTGCAGCGTTTTCGAAAATTTATCTCTAGAAATATTTCTGTTCACAAATTTTTCTAGAACACCGTCCGTTTTCACCGCTGTGAACCAGTTGCGAAACACCACGCAAAACACAAGGATCTCGATCCAGGGCCAAACGGACAAGATTGCAGCGGCAATCAAGAATTAATCACTGATAGAGACATTTCTGCCCGCAAAACCTCTCTAGAACAATGGCCGTTCTCGTAGCCGTCACGATCCTGTTTGACCACATACCGTGAGTGACGTCAGGGAGAGAGAAAGGTCACGGCTCCTTATTAATCCGTCACCAAAAATAGGCTCTGTAGGGCTAAATAAACTCCGTACCAAATTGTATGCCTCCGCACCAAAACATACAATTTACCACCGATTGAATTTTTGCCACCAATATGGATGTTTTGAACGCCGTTTTAACAAACTCTATAACCATAATGAGTACTTAATTCACCACATATACGAGGCAAGTGTCCAGAAACACTATTATCCACCAGCTGGGCTGAGGTTCCACCAGATAGGTGAAATATATCACCAAGATGCAGTAGAAAATCTAGATTTTGCACCAGATTCTAAAATATTAGGCTCACCAGCAAAAAACGGCAATATTCTAAACCAAACTGGCATCAACTTGTGAACGTTTCGGGACACGTCTGCCAAAAATCACATTGGATGTGCATTCTGAGAGCGAGTGGCTAACTAGCATTGAGTTTCGTGCATGCCTAAACATCCAGGAGCGCGGCCAGCTGGTGGTGGTGGGGACATATCCTCCCGCGAGGCCCTGAGTGGCCTTCAGGACCATCGGCACAGACTATCAGGGGCCAGATTGGAGGGCCAGAGGGCTGGCCGGGGTACGACCCCTGGGCGAAGGTCTGGCCCTCAAAGGTCAGCCAAAGGGACTCGTTGCGCCTGTCGGTGCTCCCGTGACGACGAAGGCTTCTATGTAGGTCCGAGACTGTCGAGGCTGAGCGGTTGGCTCTGAGAAGGCTTGGAAGAAGGCATCCATTTACTAAGCAGCGACAAGAGCGGTGCCCGCGATTGTCACTGAAGGCCTCCTGAGTTGGTGGGACTCATGAAACAAGGTGGCTCCCTGTAACAAGGCGCAGAGTGCTTAACACGGGAGCCTGTGTCGGCAAGGGGCTCCTAGTCGGCCACAGGCTCATTTTGCTGAAGGGAGACAGGACGGGACCCTGAATGTCAGAATGTCACTTGTGTTGGTCGAGCTCCTCTTGCCTGACATGGGATGGAAATAAGAGAAATGACAAATAAATTATCCAAAAAGAGACAATATAAGGGTCTGACTAGTCACGCACTCTAGAAAAGAACAGTGGCCCCTGAGAGCCCCTAGGTCCGGGCCTTAAAAGAGACTTGGGCCCTGTTTTAGGCGGGGCCCGATAATCCTACCTGTCGTCCATACTGTAGTCCATATACGGGCTTGGGGAAAATGTTTTGTTGTTGTCATCACGGTCTTTAAAACCTTTCTGACTCGATGAGTTTGGGACGAGAGCTGACGCTGAGCAGAATTGTTGTGCGTGCTCTGGGACTCCAGCCATTGTGCAATTACAATCCGACGGCAAAATTTTATGGAAACAGCTGCTTGTACCATGATGCTTGCCACGGTCCATCTGCCCTTTGAACTCCCCGAAATTTGGCGAGAGGCGAGAGCACAAAAAGTCAGCCAAGATCGAGAATACAGAGGTCCACCCCACCTCGTCACCACCCCTACGTTATGGGTTCCCACTGGAATGCTCTCAGCCCGTGTCTAATTGTCTTAAATGTACCCCTGCGAGCACATTTATAGCGACTTAAGCCCCTATAGCGCCACGGGTGGGATGGGATCGCCAGGAGTTTATTTCAATTATTCTGCGGAGAGCGACAAGCTGTTGCTCTCTCGGTTATGATGTGATTCACTTCGGTGATGATATCCCCTTCACCTGTAGCCTTGAAGTCTGGTCGGCTTATGAAACCAGATTTTGATAATGAATTTGCACGATTGGTGATGACATAGCCTTCGGTAATGAACTGACCGTTTCGGCTTGCTGACTCAGTTGGTGATCAGGGTGCGTATTTGGTGCTGAAAGTGGGCATTCTGGTTGTCCAATAAATTTGTCCCCCTAAGGTCACCGCCGGCGCGCGGCGCGCCGACAGTGGAGGCCGGGGAGGGGAGCGGGGCGGGGGCTGGTCTGCATGAAGCAGTGGGTCTGCGTGCGTGTTTTGACAGACGGCCCTCCCAGCGCGGCGGAGGACGGGCGGACGGCAGGTGCGCGCGTGACCGCCGCGCCGGGTGGGACTGGCGGTGCTGCGGGCGCGAACGGAGCCACGACACGACCACCAACCAGAGGGCCGCGCTAGACAGAAGATCGGAGCAATGACCATCCAACAGAGGGCCGCATCACACAGAAGACCGGGGCAACGGTGCAGAAGCGGAGCAGGCGAGCAGTTGTGTAACGACGAAACGCCATCCATCTGGCGGGAAATGCAGGCAGCGGCACCAGAGGGGTCACAGCACCGTTGGTGGACGAGTGACCAGCTGGTACAGCCGGCGCCCAAAACGCCCGGACGGCACACAGCGCCACCCGATGCATCGTGAATTTTGAGGTGGGAAAAAAACACACTTTGTTCCGTCCGCGTCATCGCGTTTGCTACATAGCTTGAACAGATCACAAGGTGTGCCGGGTTACAGTGGATGTCTCTAGCACATAGTGTTGATAACATCTGCGGACGATCCAATACCATCGCCGGGCCGTAAAGTGCACCCGAGTGACGTCACGCGTCGAGGCGACAGGACACTCGCGATCGCGGAGCGAACCTAAACAAGCTGGCCACAGGAGCGACACTTTTTACCATACACAGATGGTGCGATCGATCGACTCTCCCGCTGGCGTCGGCGCTGGCGGATCGCTGGCGTGTGCAGTACCGATGTGTGGCAGGGTGTGGGCGTGCGTCGGCTCCAGCCGGCGACGTCATTGGCTGCTGCTGTGCGCCGCCGCGCCGCTGCTTCTCTTCCTGCTCTGGCTGGTGTGGTGGCGTCCCGACCCGGCGCTCGTGGCCGTGTTCTACCCTGCCGCCGCTGAGCGCGGGCCTCCTCTTGCGGCCGTCGACTCGGAGCGCTGGCTGACTGTGCCTGTGGCGCCGCCGCTCCGCCCGACGGCTGTATCTTCCTGCTGGAGACGTCGGGCCGGCGCCACATCACCCCGCGCGAGTGGTGCACCGTTGAGTCGGCGGCGTCCGCGCACCCGAGCATGCTCGTCGTGTTTGCTAGCCGCAGCGCCACGCCTGCGCCGCTCCGCGCTCACCGACCGGCTGCTGGGAGCGCAATAACACAATCCTGGCGCGGCTCGACTTTGGGTCGCTGTTCGCCGACACGCCGTTCGAGCGGTTGTACCAGAGTCGCGCCGTTGCTGCGGTCGCCCTGGCCGGTGGTCCACATGAGCGACGCGGGCGCGCGTTGCAGTGCTGTTGCAGCCACGGCGGCATCTACCTCGATACGGACGTAATTGTACGCCGCTCACTGGCCGGTGAGAAGAGAGAGGGAAAGAGGTAGAGAGGAAGAGAGTGGGAGGGAGGGAGGGAGGACCAGTTGGAGAGGGGTGGGGAAGAGCAGGAGGGGACGGACGTCCGTGCTGTTGTCATACGGGGATGGTTTCGAGTCGTGGGTGGGTACGAGTCCAGCAGTTGCCGAGGTACTGTGGCGTGACCCAGGCGGACAAGCTCCCCATTTGAGGTCGCAAAGACACTCTCGGTGTCAAAGGCAACATTACTGTAAAACGCTCTCAAATAGGGGTGTCTATTTTTTATGCTTGTTTGGGGAACCGAGTGGCCCATGATGTCCCCCCGCTTATTTTGTGTCAACGGACTTACACTTTGTTCTGACGAGTGTCAGTTTGTATTGCAAATTGTATTATCATTTTTAAAAACCTTCAAATTTAACAGTATAGCAGTCCTGCAAGGACGAATCCACGGAAGGAGGCGAAACTGGAGACACCTTCTGATATGGAAGAAGGCAGATCTCTAGAAGCCGCCTTAGCGTGCCGAAGGCACACTTTGAAGGCGACCAGGGCCGGCAGCACATACTCTTGGTTGGATACGGGACAGGGCTAGTCATTAAGGACTTTGGTTATTTCCGTTCTCCTTTGCTTTTCAGCATTACATGTCAGGCGTTCGTGTGTCGTGTGGCTCAAGCTGCGCAGTCAGCTGATCGCTTACGCGCTCAGCTGTTACGTGCGATCTGGCGGTGAGGGCAAACACGACTTAACATGGCCAGGGTATGGGTTGTCAAAGCGTTGATATGCGCGTTGCTCAGTAAGCAAACATATCTGTTTCATTTCTATGAGGCGACTGCATGATGGTGATAGATATATGGATGCATTGATGAATACAGTACGAGGTTTGGAGGCCAAGCCATCTCGGTAAATTATACAGTCTACTCTAGTTTGGTTTTGTCGTCCTTGGAGAAGGTCGCTGCGCCTCCCTGTAGAATGCTGCTCCAATCTAAAGTGCAATTTTAGTGCGAATCACGAGCGTTGCGGGAAAAATGTCTGCCTGAATTCGGCGTCGTACCACATTTTGCATTTAACCTACGCAATGGCATCAATAATTGTGCATAATACCATGATTATTATTGAGGATGCTCAACAATCGGCCTATATTGACTGATAGTTGAGTAGAAGTAAGATTAAAAGCAAGCTGCTTGAATTGCGTGAGTAAAAGTGCGCTGTCAAAACAACGTTGAGGATGAGTTTGTTCTAATAGTGGTGTAGCAAATGCGTGTGTCATTCATAGAACCGCTACATGTATGTTTATCATATTTTTGTTGCACAGCCTGAGGTGCGCGTAAATTTCTCTGTAATGGATGCATGTTATATTAGGTGTCATTTTAATTTTACGTGAACTAGTTCTTCAGCGTGCTAAATGACCAGCCTACAAAGAAGTTTGGATTATTTGCGTAAGATTGCGCAGCATTCAATTTCACCATTTCCTGCTGCACACAGCGATACACGTGAGACCTGAAACCCTTGCAACCTAAATGTCCGATTTGATTTCGAATCGTCGAATTTCCTGCAATGGTAGAAGAGCGCAGCTACATAATTAAAAATAAAATACCACACGAATGAATCTCAAACTGTTTCGAAATATTGTCCAAAAGGCCCAGTGCCGTCAAAAACGATACCACTTTTCCAATTAATGGTGCCATGTGCTTGTCAAAGTTTAGCCAAGGATGACTGCTTTTTATGTCACAGGTGACATAATTCGACACAAATGATTAAGGGGCAATTTACAGACATCGTCTTTGTACAAGTTTTTTGCCTGCAGGGTGAAAAACGCCCCGCCAAAAAGTATATTTTTGCGCAAAGACACCAATGATCGGGCCGTAAGCCCTGACGACGACAGAGCGCTCAAAGCATTTTGGCCGCGTTCGTAGTGTTGCGAAATGCGTCGTGGCATGTTCGTCTTCCAGGACAAGTGGTCTTATGTGGTCCGCCAACGAGGGTCGTTTAGCCGTTAGCTTGATGGTGTAAGCTTGGTTACAGGGCAGCCCACGGCCGTGCAATCGCATTGCACATTAATGACCTTTTCATGCTATTCGGATAAGAGGCCGAGGCAAAGTGGATCATGTTGACGATGTATTACAGTTATGGGATGGCTAATTAACACACGCTCGGGTAGGGGTGGGGCTCAAATTGACCCCCCCCCCCCGAAGGTTTTTTTCCAAAATGGTTTCCAAACGGCGCGGCGTAGCCGCGCCAAATTTTTGCGTTGCTGTAGACAATTGAGTTGAGAATAGTCGGGCACCAAAAATGGAGATGTACCTTTTAAGGTCGCTGACCTATGGTCGGTCAAAGTCGGGGGCCATGGTTTCAGCGAAGGCCATTTCTAGGGAGTCGTTTCAATCTGATCCAATAAGTGTTAGACGAGGCCCACCTTTCCGAGATACTTTGTCAGGGTACATAACAACTGAGTGAACAAGTTACATTATCTAGGGTCAGGTATAAAGGTTAGACCAAAGGCAAAACCAGCTGTATTATTACACTGGGGCTTGCTTTCTGAGGTGATTTCTGGCGCCCATTTCCAATTTGTTCATAACAGGAACCCACATTATACACCCTTCACGGACTTCTTTAAGACCACAGCAGGTCATTGACCAAAAATGACTCGGGTCAGCATTTTGTTTCTTAGGAACATTCTGCCTAACGTAATCTTAGTCGCTTTTTCAATGCAAAACTTAATGCAAGTCTCGTCTGATCTTAGTCACCATGGTCTTTAAAGACTAAAAAGGTCACTGACCTTAAATGAGCGTTGTGCCCTTTTGCATAGAACAGTTACCTTGGTTTTAGGGGCCCCTTTGAAAACTAACCTGGAATTTTGACCTTGTTTGACCTTACTCACGGCGAAGGTCATGACCTAGGAACTTCAAACTTTGGCCTCAATGAGTATCACGTACAGGTCAAGACATCCTGTGAATTTAGTGTTCTAGCTCTCTTAGGTTCCTGAGATCTCAGGAGGTTCAATCTGACCTCCCACCCGAGCGAAGGGCGTCGAATCGGCCACCCGGGCGTGTGTCAAAAGTGGACAGCGAGGCTCCATGTTCGGCATGGAACCATATCAAAAATCTATCTTGGGCAACATGTTTCTTTTCTGCGTGGTTTTTCATTTTTTGACTGCTCTGAATCCATCATTTAAACTATTATATGATGAAAATAAAAAGTTTGCAACTTAGTTGTGATGTCTCTGAAAAAATTACAACAAAGAATAAGGGGCGCCAGCATCATGCTTGGATGCGGACAAAAGCTAACGTTTGACGGACAGAAAATCTCAAATTATAAGGTGGTTAACCCCAATGTTTAAGCTTCCCCTCCACTGGGACGTAATATTGAGGTTGCGGCTTCAATGTTCTTCAGCTGTACCCTCCATAGCAACGCCACTACAAGGAGGACAACGTCACTACAAGAATGAAAGAAGATCGTCTTTGTATAATTGTCATCTCTTTTCTACGTTTTTGTAATGTTCCATCCCAAAATATGGAAAGGCCAAGCTAACACTGGGGGAAGGGGTAAATCCACATGGGGGGGGGGGGCAGAACACTCACAAAAGAAAACAAATAGACACCCCGTGTCCAAAATGTCTCTACAAAATCAAAAAGTGGCCCCCAATGCCTGCAAAGTGAATCCCGAGCATATAATCAGGCCGAATACGCGACGAAGAGAGGCCTAATGACGGGAAAAGCCTCTATAACCCAATTTGTCCTCCTCTTGCCCCCCTCCGAGCTCCGCCATTCTGGAGATGATGATGATTTGTGTTGTCTATGGTGATGTGTAGCAGGCATAGGCAGTTGCTGCTGTTGCCGTAGTAGTTGCATGTTGTTTTGCTGCACGGCCTGCTCTGTCTCGCGCGCTACCTGCGATCCGTCACTGGGTAACCAGCGTCCTCCGGTGATTGCTGGACCCAGTGGCGCGTGACCCGATCAGCCGCCAATCTAGGTCAGGCCCGTGACCTTCGTCTGCCGCCACGGCCGCAGCGCTGGACGATGGTGCAGGCCTGGAGTCGGAGCGAGCCGTGGCGTCGGGTGTGCTCAAGTTCAGCCGCGACTCGGCCGTGCCGCGGCTGCTGGCAAGCTGCCTGACAGAGGGTTACGACCCGTACAACTGGGGACACAACGGGCCCGGCGTCGTCACCGAGGTGCTCATCGAGGGCTGTGGCCTCCGACACCCGCCGTTGACGACCACCCACTGCGGAAACTACACCATCTACGGACGGTGAGCGCGGACGGTCACCCCACCATCTACGGACGGTGAGACGGACGGTCACTACACCATCTACGGACGGTGAGCGCGGACGGTCACCCCACCATCTACGGACGGTGAGAGCGGACGGTCACCCCACCATCTACGGACGGTGAGCGCGGACGGTCACACACCATCTACGGACGGTGAGCGCGGACGGTCACCCCACCATCTACGGACGGATGAGAGCGGACGGTCACCCACCATCTACGGCGGTGACGGCGGTGACCACCCCACCATCTACGACGGTGAACGGACGGTCACTACACCATCTACGGACGGTGAGCGCGGACGGTCACCCCACCATCTACGGACGGTGAGCGCGGTGACCACCCCACCATCTACGACGGTGAACGGACGGTCACTACACCATCTACGGACGGTGAGAGCGGACGGTCACCCCACCATCTACGGACGGTGAGAGCGGACGGTCACTACACCATCTACGGACGGTGAGAGCGGACGGTCACCCCACCATCTACGGACGGTGAGAGCGGACGGTCACGCCACCATCTACGGACGGTGAGAGCGGACGGTCACTACACCGCCGACGGACGATGAGAACGGGACGGCTACACCATCGACGAACGGTGAGTGGGACCAACCTACGGCCAATGAGAGCAGACGGTCTATGCACCAACTACCGACGGTAAACAGGGACCGCTTCACCATCTCCATTCGCTGAGCGGGACCGCTGCACCAGCTACGGGCTGGTGAAAGCGGGACGACGTCGACACGAACCATGGACGGTAAGCGGGGGCCTTTACACCATCCTTGGCCGGTTGAGCGCGGGAAACCACTGCATCAGCTATGGCCGGTGAGAGCGGACGGAGACTGATGAAGGCATGCCACGTCCACGGAGAGGACGGTCCAGATAAAGTGTCAGACCAGCTGACGCCGCCATTGGTGCAGAGCGTCAGCCGGCGGTGCAGCGCTGCTGATCGCGACCAGGTGAGACGTTCCGAGCAGGGCTGAGGCAGGCGGCGGGTCTCCTCTCGTTCGAACGACTGCGTAGTAATCGACACATGACGTGCTCAGGGTGGACTGTGCCTCCAGTCTAGGGTATGTTTGTGGCGGTGCTGCTGCGTAATGCTGTGACGTCGTGATCTCGGGCTACACGTGCACCCGTTTTTAATGCTTCGACAGGTGATTCGAAATGTTGCGTCACTCACACACAGCACAGCTGTGCCCCGTCCCGCCCGCCAACAGATGTGCCCCTCTGCGGTCACCATAACGTCGTCCTGACCTTCTCCCCTCCCACGGCCGCAGGCAGTGCTTTTACGCCATCCCATGGGAAAACTGGAGCCTGTTTCTGGAGCTGGACGCGCGGGACGCCGTGTTGGAGCGCGTGAACGCTCGCACTTGGTGCACACGTGGGGGCGGCACGTGCGCGAGCGCCGCGTGCCGCTGGCTCCGCGTACCACCAGCCTGGCCGAACAGTACTGCCCCTGGTCGCTGCAGCAGGGCGGGGCCGACTTCTAACCGGTGAGGCATGTCTTGGGCGACGTCTGTAAGGGGAGTTGACGCTTGACTATAACGATGGTCTTTTTTGCCTGTATTGCAGCCTCCTCCCCCCCCCCCCCCCCCCCCCCCCCCCCCCCCCCCCCCCCCACCCCCCCCCCCCCCCCCCCCCCCCCCCCCCCCCCCCCCCCCCACCGTCATAATTCACATTCTGGACAGCAGCAAGAGCGCCGCAAAAAGTCAGGTGGCTCGACGAGAAACAGCAAGAGGACAAGGTAGCAATGAAGCAGTTTTACGCCATGATTCAGCAATTTGTTTGATTATTTTAAGGCTTCAGCTCAACTTGAGTGAAAGCAAACGATACTAATGTGTGTAGACAGATTGCTGTTCTGACGGTACCTCAGCGTGACGACAGGCGTTGAGCAGCGCCTATTGGCTCGTGGAGCAGCTGCTGGATTGCCGGGTATTGGTCGGGCCCGATCTCGGCCAGCAGTACCGCAGCCGTCTTCCGGCTCATACAAAAGCACAGCTGGTGCTGTTGTGGGTCAGCAGTGCGGCGCTCTTGAACAATGTTAGCGTACTCGCCGCGGGCTCGTCGGCGATGGAGAATCTCCGTCACCCATCCCGGATTGTACGTTTAGTGTGACGCCGTTGTTGCCCCATCAGAAGCCTGGGTTTGGGCTGGGGCGATGTTGATCTCCACAGCGACTTGCGCTTTGGATTTCTTACGTCTGATGCTTCCAAGATGTTTCGTGTTTTTGCTGTTATTTGGTTTGTGACCTCGTGTTATACTTTAGTATATTCCGCTCTGGTTGGCATTACGAGAAATACAAGCGGTCGGATGCTGTTTTGCTATTATTTGATGTCTTGCGCTATTACTGATAGCCAAAAAATGTAGGTCGACTCTTTGCACATACGGCATAGTGGCAAAGAGCACTGTTGTAATGTTTGAAATTTACTCCGTGTGTGGGTTTTAGAAAATCCTCGCCAATCTTATCCGCGCGTACACGACTACACGGGATTTTTTTTTTCAATCCGGCGTGTAATTTCCGCCATTCGGCCATTCAGCAGACTCGACGACTATGTTTAGTGGGCGGCCCATCTTAGCGCTGGTATCGAGCACCGGTAGCCAACGTTCCGCCGCACAGCGCGCGCACCGCCGCCGCGGAGCTGGCTTCCGGTGGACCGTTTGGGTACCTGGCTGCGATCCAGATGGCACAGAATGCATGCCGTCAGAAGTCCGCCAGGACGGCAAAACGCCGGAGACCAGGCGCAGTATTCCGGAGCCGATGGAGGGAGTCACAGTGAGGCGACTTCGCCGCGTTAGGAACTAGATGGCGTTCGCAGCAGAAGACAGACAAAACCGGCAGGCTGTGTGATTGTTAGCTTGTTTTTCTTGTTTCTTGTTGTTTTTGTTTAGCTTGTTGTTTATGGGGCGCCAACTCACCCTACTCAGTAGAAATTACTCCCCAGCAATCAACTAGGCTACAAGCTATGGCACAAGTGTCAGCAAAATGTTAGGCCTGAAGGCATCCTGAATCTTGTGCCAGATGTGGCAAGTTCTATTCCCAATTTAGGCTTCTGCTTTACCCCACATGCTCCAATTATTACAAAACCTAAGTCGTTTGAAACACATCCCAAAATCTCCCAAGGCTTTAACACTAACACTGATCCTGAATCTAGCATCCTTATTTTACTTTTTCAGGGCATTTCTTACGGGCATTTTCAAATACGCACTCTTGAATGGTACACAGACATCGAATAGATTTGAAAGTACTGATTTGAACAGCTTAGGCTTCTGGTGTTAGCTTTTTTTCTAATTGGCAAGGCACACCAAATATGTCAATGGGGTGTATCAGTCTAATCTTGCCCAAAAGCAGCACTTGTGCGTTCATTCGTGGCCACTACCTGCCAGGCAATGTGCACTCTAAAAGTAAAAATGTCCTGAAACTTTGTGCACGTGCCGTCATGCACTGGGCTATCCCGCGAAAGCTACATCAAACCAACCCCACAATGGAATTTTCCACGGCTCCTGTCCCCAATATAACAACATTATGAAACCTGACTAATTCCCGTGCCTTTTTCTGAAGTGATTTTTTTTGGACAATAATGCTGTCCCCCATGCTGATAGTGAAATTCTATGCATCAGGTGTGAATTGCAGTTACCTGAACATCTTACACACAGTAAAAAAAAATGTTCAGAGCACAGATATTCAGTCCCATGTCCCATTGACAGCCGTACCACTAAACATACTGCTGGACAGGAACCTGTGCAAAATTGTGTATTGCCTCATCTACATGCCTCGGCTAAGGTATGGAGGAAGCTTAACTTTCTACTCACAACTCACACCGCACACCCTATCGAATTTTGCTTACGCACCAATTGTAGAAAATTACGTTATCAGTTTTCAAATCACCGTTTTTTGCATCTCATTCAATTCCTTATTGACACTAACAAACTAAGGCGTTGCGCGAACTCGGCTTGACAGTTGGCATGACGTCATCAAGTTAATATGAAGAGCTTACGCCTTTAGTGAGCGGTCAATATTTTATGCAGGAAAGACAGGGCAGTAAGGACGAGGAGCACATTAGAAGCAGCGGTGGTACTGAAAGGACCCTTCCAAAATTGGGAGCAGCGAAGTGTACCCACAATCGTCCACAAATTGTCTCCACACCCGGCAGTGCTGAAAGACGTCTAGGCCACTAAAACACGATATCCTCTTTCAGTGTTTTAATGCGCAAAATTTCATCACGATCGACATTGAAAGCATACGTTGAATAAAACTTTGATCAATGAGAGCATCTCAGTCTCTTCTCACGCAGAGTAGGCATTGATATGAGTCTTCTACTCTCGTAAGAGAGGGGACGCTTTTTACCGTCTGCAGACAATGTATATACATTGGCGGCATGCGACGTGACATACTTTTTATCAGCAGCAGGATATCCGGGGCACCAAGATGGGTTGTAATGTGTTCGATACCTAATGACATGACGGTTTTAACCAATAACAAATGAGGGTGTAAACGATCATGTGCCTCTCATCGCGACAACAAATGGGAGGGAATCCCATGATAACGAGTGATTCAGTAAGTTTTATAGATGTTCAAATTGCATCTTACGTTTTACCACCTTGGCCTAACATTTAGAACACGCAGTGTTGTAACCACTCAGGAGGTCAAGGCGACCATTAAACATTTTATCAATGTCAGCGATTTTCACGTACCTGATTGGAACCTATGCGAACCATTGTGACCCAATAAATGGAACTGTATTATGCGCGTAGTTCTCTTTCTCCATCCACTCCTTTCACTTCATCAAGTCTGTAAGGAAAATAGGGTGGAATCTGGAAGGATCAAGACGATTATAAGTACATCTGTGGATAGCTTTCAGTAATATTGTTATTCGTTATGCACTCAGCTGGTTTTGCGGGATTACACACCTGAAAACAGGTGTATCATTGCGCACAATATACTTATCTGAGGTGGGGAGGGCCAGGTGAATATGAAACTTCCATTTTGGTTAAATGTAGACCCTTGTCGGGCAGTTTTTGGGTTGTAAATTACAGTTAAACAAGCCTTCTTTACACAAGGTGACCCGAAGCGGTGAATTTGCATTCGTCGTCACTCCAGTCGAGATGTACGGTCACGAGCACACGGATCGTTGTGACGAATATCAAGTTGGAAATGATGTGAAAAGTGAAAAAGCCCGCAACGCATCCTCTAACTTCGTCATTAATTTGATTCCCTGCCGTGGATAATTTCATGCGATTATTTGATTTTATCGCAATTCTGTTCACTGAACGACAAGATTTATTCAGCTACGCTCACAAGCGGACATGTGGAAAATGTAAAACAGCAATGGATTCATGGGCATGGAAAGCAACAAAAACGGCCGCCATCTCCAGATGGTGTCATTCGCTGGGACCGCCAGCAAAAGATGGCTCGCATTCATTTCTTCCTAACAGGGCACTAAAAAATAACGTAGCGGGCCATTCCACTCACATTCACGTCAGGTGGAGCCAGATCGCCCGATGTGTCGGCACAGAGGTCTCAACGCAACGGTCCGGATCGCTGACCGAACAAAGCCACCGGGCACAGCCAACGGTGGCATCGGCGGCCAGAATCACGTATTTCCCACGCGGAGGGGGGGTAAGCATGGCACAGAAAGGCCGGCTCCAGCGACTTCGTCTGCAGGGAGCACTTAGGCAGCGAGCGCCGCCACGTGATGTGCGTCGGGAGCACGAGAGTTGTTGGGACAAGACTTCCGGAGGGTTCATGCACTGCGGAAAAACCGCAGGTACAGGCACCGGGCTGCTCTTCAACATGATGCAATAACAACAGGGTAATGTGAGTGAGCTGGTGCCGGACGCGGAGTTCTGTTGTCTGAAACAAGAAGAGAACTCAATATCACCCTCAGTTTTAGAACCGTGACCGGATACAGGCACATAGACACGGCAGAAATGACGAAGGAAATCGCACTATTTTTACCAAAGTCTTCCACCAAATTTCAACAAATGAATACCGAACACACTAAAACACAACATGCTTATTTGATGCTGAATATGTGTAGAACATGTAACTGAATGTCCTACACAGCAATCCCGTCAAAAGACAAACCAAAACAATATTGTATACAAGCCTTTAGCTGCCATTTTTGTCCAGCAATTCTAAAATGTCACATTTTGATCAAACAATATGATTGAAAAATGACATCACGAAGCAAATGCCATGATGTAAGCAAATTACAGGACATACGTGTAATATAAGCCGTTTCATTTACATTATAATCAAGTTACGTGTCAGTGGCAGATCTGAGACCCAGGCTGTTTGTTATCATGGAAGCCTTCATTTCAGGGTCATCTTACAAACAACAAAAGAATGATGTAACGTAAAAT